GTAAGTAGACATTAAAATTGACATTTCAAAATGTTAACGTGTCGTTTTAAAGCGAAAACTATGCACTTGCATCGACCAGCAGACCACATCATGGGACAAAGTATAGCTATGTATTAAAAATAGCATTAATTGACCTATTGACCTTTTTACCACAGAAACTTTGAATTCCAATTTTACTTTAATCAAACTGGTGCAGTGGTTTACTTTCATGCAAATATGAAATGATTATTGCAATGAAGGAAGATTGATTATAGACATGCATACATTGTTGCAAATTGGCTCTAGGAAATTATAGACTGGTGAATTAACCAGATCAAATTAAATATTGGAAACAGTAAAACTTTTCACATTGCACACAGTGCAATTAATCACAAACCAAAATACAAACGGCGAGCATCCATATACCACAAGTTTGCCCGAAGGCATGCGTAGTACAAGTCAATACTTAATAGCAATGATATGAAGTACTATATAGTATTTAATACATCCTAATTCGTTGTGCTTGTATCAAGAGCGTCGAGTGCTAAATCAGCTTTAATTTGTCTTTGTACAAACATCACGTCGTTATATGTGTGTACACATTAGGCATGAATTAAAAAGCGTCGTGTGTCTGTCAGCACCTCTAATAGTACAATACTCACGCTGACGCTTGGAACAAATTATTAAGAAATATTCAGTTCAAAATATTCAGTTCAATATACTCAAATGATATGATTTTCAATCTTTCAATCCGAAGGAAGTTTTATAGAACTAAAAGTGAATCAAAAGTTAATCTTGACAATAAAAGTAATTTTTTCCACAATAAAATTTTAAAATTCTTAAAATTGAACAGCGAGGGAGAAACAAGAGGGAATTTTTAATCATTTAATGTTAAGCACAGATTTAAGTCAATTAAGAAACTCTGTGACCACTTTTCAACGCTTGATTAGAGCTATAAAACCCTAGCCTACTAGCAATGGGACACGATCAGTACAAGGATCGACACACCAGCTGAACCTCGTGTTTTTAGACAAGCCCCGCGGAAAATGGAAACGGAAATTGAAGGTGTATCTGGGACTATATACAATATCCTGTGAAGATCAGCTGCAATAACTTGTAACTCAGATGTAACCCATAAAGATCAGTTGCATGCTCATATTTTAACTAATACTTGAGCTCTTTTCCAAATTTCAGGCACAATTAATACTGATATGAAAATGGGTGTCTGCATGAACGTCAAGTTTGAATCTGCAGGTTCTTGATCTGCTCTAGGTTCTTATATGCATGATTTTACTGTATTATTATAATATGGTTTTCCAAGGTAGACCCATCAGCATACAAAGCTGTAATCAATGGGTGCACTAGTTGGAACTATAGTATTATGTACAATACAATTATATGTAATCTAATCGATATCCACAATTTAGCTAAGTTTTAAGTTGCTCTAAAGGTGATGAATTCTTACTATATTCTCAGATAAATTGCTAAAGAGTAAAGTTCAGCTCCAAAGTAGTCTTTGCAATTACTAGCTGTCTTTACTCTTGGAAGAACAATACTTAATCCATTTCTTCTCGTATTATACAGATGCGCCGGAAGATTACTCAATGTACTTGGCATCTAAAGTAACTGGCCCGATAGAGTGCATATACACGCATATCAATTTAAAAGCCTCAACAACTGGACGGTGCATGACCACAGTGATTTTGTTTGACATACGTACATGATGGCATACAAATTGTGCACTTTATTGTATAACATTATATATACCTGCACTAGACAGTAGACACTTTACACAAATATATCAATATGGAACTGATAGGGTTGTTAAAAATATCTACAGAATTACTAAATATGGAATCAGTAAGATGTCCTGAAACTGTTTATAAGGTGGGCTCTTAAAATCACGAGTTGCATTTCCTTAACTGAGTAAACGCTTACGTATATATGTATTTATAAATATACCGTGTATACGTGTTAAAAAATACACCGGAATTCAGTTCATTCCACTGTGTAATTATATTACTGCAATTTGCCTAGCAAAGCTTGCAGCCAGGTCGGGAAGTCGATCTGGAAAACAATAATTTTATCTTCCGGTTATTATTGTGTCAGAATAGGAAGCGATTAAAGCAAGACGACTTCCTGTGAAGCCTTGAATATTTTTGCATACCAATTTTAAAATCCGAAAATCAAAGTAGAAATCACAGTGAGAAAATTAGCAAGGGGGCAGACTTGACGTCACTTGCATGATTGATACATGCGTTGGCGTTTTGAGCATGATCAGCACAGGTATGCAATGCATTCATTGAAGTTCTAGCACTTTGCCGAGAACTCGCTCAGTAAACATTTGATAGTACTACAGGACACACTGCCCGATTCCTGTATCAACAACACCAAGAAAGGAAAACAATCTAATTTAATATGGCGGAGGGTATGTGGAACTAGTGTTCTTATAGTAATTAGTTATTCAATCGGATCTATACTGCATCATATGTAATTTTTATATAACCATAGATATACAGTAATAAAATATATTAGGTGATTTTTGCTGAATTTTGCTGATTTTGGTTTTAATCTGGTTTACACGATATTTGTAGCAAATTGGTGATCATATACTACATGTACATTCATATAATACAAATATCACATCTTTGTACTCGTTAGTATTTGCTACATCCTTTTGCATGCAATTACAAACTGAGAAGGATTCTTTCAGATTTTTTCTTCAGTTTATATAAACTCGCTTTACTCATCAAAACTGTTTTCGATACTATGTTGCCGTATTAAATGAGTGACTGCATGGTGTACATTATTCACATATTACAAGTACTGGGCATTCGCTTGGTGCATGTAATAATAAAAGTAGCCGACCTAATTTACCAATTAGTAACAGTTTATGTGTGTGATTCTGAGTTTTATGTTCAAAATATAATGCACCATATACATATAGTTTAAACATGCATTGCGAATATTTTACATCATAGAAAAAATGATCATGACTTCGTGCCGATCAGGAATACATCCGTAGCCAAAAGCAACTCCTCAATTTTAGCTTTGCATGGTCGAGATCTGCACAACATGCAAAATATTCACAGTATACTATGGAATTAGAAGAATATTGTAAATTGAAGATTGTATTGAAGATTGGATGATGTACAAAATTGATATTGATATTTGGACTCACTCTGCCTAAGCCGGATACAAAGTGATTCAACTCACAATTATTTACAACATGCAATTACAAATGCCCCAAAATGCTTAGGTATATAACTGAAGATATTATATGTACAAAATTAGATCACTATATAGATCAGGCACAGACTGATTTATTGTTAATAACCGTATTTATGCAAGTTTGAAACCTCTAGCAAAGAAGCTATTCAGTTATAGTATATAATTTGTGTTCTGGAAAGCAAAACACATCCTGTCTGACTGAGCACTTCAAAGCCAACAGGCTGTACAAGTTCGGTTTGAAAACTGTTTAGTGTGAAATATATAAAGAGATTTATTTATGGCTATATAGTATAATATAATTAAATGATTCTCATAAAGACATTCACTGATTCACATACTATCTCGCAATTCGATCCCCATACCATATATAATTTAAATTAACTACATTATCTAATACCAAAATAAAGTTCACAGTTAAACAAATAAATGACAAATAACGGAGGAACACTGTATTTTAGCGCCTTTGGCCATGCATGTTCATCTGGTTTATTATAGTCATTCATTTCTCTTTACACATATATAAAAGGCATCCCACATTTTTGGTCTTGGAATTTACCTGTCTTCCTATTATATAGTTAAAACGTACTTTTTAATGTACTTTGATAGATTTTGCTGGAAAATGTTTACAATTTAATAATACTGAAACATATTATTAATGATTGCGACGTCCACAGACCGTTTATTTATACCACTAATGTGATCCAGCTTCACTTTACTTCACTAGAATTAATTACCAATGCATTTTATCGGAAGTTGAAAATATATTTCAGTCTTGTCTTCTATCTATTGTTCAATTTGTACTGTAATATTGTACACTTGGATCGCTTTATAGTCTGATCATCAGACATACTATTAGTAATATTCTAATTATCCAGATTTTGTGCATCTTGTTCAAAAGAACTGATGAATATATATGTATATATATATATATATATATATATATATATATACATATATATATATATATATATATATATATATATATATATATAATATATATATATATATATATATATATATATATATATATATATATATATATATATATGTATATATATGTATATATATATATATATATATATATATATATATATATATATATATATATATATATATATATATATATATATATATATACATATATATATATACATATATATATATACCCATTTTTTGTAACTGCTCCTGATTAGGTCTAAAAATGTATATAGATTTTCGTGTGAAAATTCCACTTACAAAAACCCAATATTCTATTAATATTCGAATTTTGTACTTGTCTGTTATTCTTCATATTGAAATCCATATTGTACATGAATATATTGCTAGACAATGTTGACAATAACAAGATGTGTGAAAATTCGTATTTGAATACACTCCTGCATTTACTATCAATATTTTCAGTTTCGCTTGAAATATAATCATTCCAAACAGGATACATGTTCCGGAGAGGTATAGTTATCTATTTTATAATTCTAATTTATATTTGTACAGAATTGTACTTTTCATACATTGTACACTTGGGTATATTTCAGCAGAATAATGTTGGCAATAAGATCCTAGCTATTAGGATGATAAGTACTGAATAAAAATTGAACCAAGTAATCATATGAAATTGAAATACACTGCATGCAATTACTATTAAAGAAATGTTTTTACACCGCTCTATTTATAATATAGTCATTCCAGTTAGTTAGATTCGTCATCAAAATAATAAGATAGGACCCACGCCTTTGACAGCTAGGCATCTACGCATAAAAAGGCAACATTTCAAATTAATTTTTGTGCTGAGTCAAGACAACAACATTTGTGAATAACAGTTAATATATCATAAGCATACTGTAGGAAATGGAAAATGTATTGTCATTTTAATTAATAAAAACATGTAAAAAGGTTTCCCATGCAGTATGTAATGCACACATTTATGCGCAGGCAAATTTATTTCTTCTGAGCTATATTTCAAAATTGCATGCAACTATAATATTATCGTAATTCAACAATGACACTGCTAGAAAAACAATATAGCTTTCCAAATATCAATGGAGATAAACTGGTGATTGAGTGTATATATATATATATATATATATATATATATATATATATATATATATATATATATATATATATATATATATATATATATAACATTTGTATATTATATCAGGGTCCTCTTCATGTAGTGAATTATATATAGTTAAATTTCAATTGTTATTACGTTGATATTTTTCAAGTCTTTGAAGATTTTCTGTCATCAATCGATTGCATGACAGTTGTCTTCATTTGAAAAAGATATATGAATGGATATATGAATAATTTCAAATTCCCTGCAACATATCATTATTTTGCATATCATACCATGCAATGCCATGCCATACAATACAATACAATACCATGCCATGCCATACCACACCATACCATACCATGCCATACCATGCCATGCCATGCCATGCCATGCCATGCCATACCATACCATACCATATCATGCCATACCATACCATACCATACCATACCATACCATACCATACCATACCATACCATACCATACCATGACATGCCATACCATGCCATGCCATACCATGCCATACGTATTCATAACTGTCATAACATAATGACCATACCACGCATATATAAATAAATATATATATATATATATATATATATATATATATATATATATATATATATATATATATATATATAAATTAAGGTACAACAATCAACAAAATCCACTAGGCATCTTTATCAATAAATAAAAAAGAAAAAAGAATTAAAAAAATAAAAATAATAAAGATGCCTAGTGGATTTTGTTGATTGTTGTACCTTAATTTTAATATGCTCTGGTTTTCCATTGAGCACTTTACCAAACGTTTTTATAACCAACGAAACCAAATCTTATATATATATATATATGTATATATATACCTCACCATCCCATACATTACCATAGCTCACAATACCACATTACACTAATTTAATAATAACATGCACTACAATAGAATGGCAAGATATTACAAGAAGCAAAGAAATGTCAGCTGAAATAAACTGTACAAAAAACATTGGCTTTATAAATTATTTTGTTATATTTTTGTATATGAATAGTGGATTCGTGAATAAATATTTTTACAATATTTTTACAAAATTGGTAATAAAATTGCTGATAATTATAGCTTTCAAAAGTGTTAATCCCTTTTAGAGTATTTATTTAGGTAATCTAAATCTTGAATACTTTAAAATTTTCTAGCATCTAGGAAAAGAAGTTCTAGCACAAGAAAGTCACTTTATCTGTGGGAATTTCTCTTTGGTTTGCTGGAAGATGACGAATGCGTCTCAGTGATAACTTGGGTCAACAAGCGTGAAGGAATATTTGCTTTAAAGAACACTGATGAACTGGCGAAACTATGGGGAACTGTCAAAAACAGACCAAAAATGGACAAGAACAAACTGATTAGAGCGATGAGAACATATTACAACAGAGGAATGCTAAAAAAGGTGACGTGTTTTTCATTTGTTTAACAATTATTGCAAACATATTTGGGATATGACCGAGACTCGAAGCGTTGAGCTGAGCTGAATATCCTTGTACTATTTATCGACACTGAGATGAATAATTGTTTTAGCACATACCATAATTACAAAACGAGAAATTATTTTTAAGACAATTTACATTATAACTCAATAGTTGTAATAGTTGTAAACAAAACAAATATTTGCAATTCGATTCAGTATTCTATTTGTTACTGAAATAGCTATAATTTAAACAAAACTTTGTAGCTTTCTTGGCATTTGGCGAAACTGTAACTTCGTTTAGTAAAAACTGACATTGCTCGCCTGTAACCGGAAGACTTTTTTTTTGGTGAATAGTGCAAGGATATCCGGAGCTAAGCAACCAACCAATTTGCGCGAATCCACCTCCCGAGCATATGCTAAACACCAATATATTACACGAAATACCAAGATATTTTCAAGAAAATAATCATTCTATAGAAAATAAACATTCTATACTCTTTCCCGCCATTTTTTCCATCGCTTTTTTCATCGCTTGTTTCGTCTAGTCTTGCGTGTCATGGCCGCGCGAATCTCAGCATGAGATAATTTACATATTATCCGTCAGACTACTAGTCTACAACGGTATGAAAGCGAATTCAAAAAAATGCATTCGAGTTCATTTAGAATTCACCAGTTGCGCTATTTCACCACCCGAAGGTATGTTGCTTATCACTGTGCCGGCTCTGCAAGAGTGCTCCCTTCTGTGACGTGAAAGCTCAGTGGTACTGTACATTGATGACCGGCCTGTTCATTTTTGTTCACTGCTCAAATTAGCTACATTTGTTAAATGTTGCAAACAACAATTAATAGAATACTTAAATTACAGTTCAAATTGTGACCTCTGGAGAGTTATGTTGATTGTAATATAGCCGTTATTGTACTCACATAGGAACTGTTTCTCGGTAATTTTTTTATATCAACTTCCTACATATGGTATAGCTATTCAGTTTTCAGCATTTCGCTACATCCGATGTGACCAGACGTTTAATTTCCGGCAAATATCGATTGCACACTACCTTTCGCTATTAATTTAAGCTGATAAAAATTGTCCTCAAAACACATAAATACATAATGACATGTTGACGCCCTACGCCTTCAACATGATATTGTTTGGACGAAAATTAGAAACCACGAGATGAGAAAGGACAATACATGATTTTTTTTCTGTGTTGGTGTTATGTAGCTACTCATGTGAATATGATGTTTGTGATGTTACTATGAGTGTATATCCACACTGGGCAAGCAAGCTTGAAAAATATGCCTGGCCACGATGGAAATCGAACCTACGACCTTTGGAATACTGACTAGCCCCATAGGATAATACATATATTTTTGCATAACACTTCATCGCGTTTCAAAACCATTTAACTGCATAGATTTAACCTGGTGTAAATTGTCAGTAGCTTGGGTAAAAGCTATTTCATTTGTAACTAGCTAGAGAATTGCTTAGTTTGCGAAGTTCTTAAATATTACGGAGCTTTGCACCGATATTATTTGCAGTGATAAGTTTCATTATCATGAACAGATTCGGTCATTTAACAAATTGTACATGTTTTTAATTGGCTTATATGAGTTATATCTAATACAACGCAGCCACTCGCGCATATTATTTAAACACTGTTATTGGTTTTTAAGCAAAAATACAATACAGGCGTGGCATTTTTGTTCACAAAATCTACAAACATGGAAATTATGTCATAGACTATTGAAAAATTTACCAAATTCAGTTCCCCCGGCGTCCTATACAATGTTGACTTGTCATTCAGTAATCAACATTGTATGATGAACGCTTTGACCAACATTGTGCTAGGGGAAGGGGGGGACTGTATTTCTAGGTATCATGAACGTTGTTTAAATGATCGTAACGTTATAGGCGCTTTACAAAATAGTAATTAGACATGATGCGTTTTATAAAAAGTCTTCGGATGTTATTTCTATGATTGTAGACTAACAGGTGCATGTATAAGGCATCAAGTTTCCAAATCATTATTTTCTATTATTAATTAAATTATGATGTTATTGGAGCGTTGATCTTCTACGTCCTGTTTTTTTGGGAAGAATTTGAACCAAAATTATTTTCAAATATACTGCTTAAATTAAAATCGCTAACAATAGTTAGTCGGTGCAATCAATTTGAATTTGAATTTTATTAGAAAAATACAGTCTTTTCAGCCCTTGGGTTGAAACACGCCCGTTATTTGCGATTGAAATATACTAGATAAATATAAGCTAAAGTTAAATACAATACATATAATGCATGCTTTGTCAATGTTCGTTATAGTTCGTCATGCATGATATGGTAGAAAATATTTTCTAAAACGTTCGGTCCAAATTTGATTGTTGCGAGTTTATTGGAAAATTATAGGTGGGAGAGTTTTCAATTTAGATTAGGTTAGATGGTAAGGGACGGTGGAAAAGGACGTTTTTGTTAAAAAAAGTTTGAACATAGTGTTTCACGTCTTGTAACCAAGGTTGGAAGGTCAAACACTGCTAAAGCGTCGCTGTATGGCTGTATGGAAAGGCTGGATCAATTATTTTAAGGGGTTCTTGATTGGATTCTTGCGATATCTTTCGTTATTAAACATCCAGGAATGCTATGGCGCCACAGTTGAGCACAGTACTCTAAAATCTGCAGCCAGATTAAGTCGTGGTCAATGTGAGATGCATAATTAAGTAAAAGTCGCATAGTATGCCGTATACCAAGGTGACTCCCTGCAGTTCCGGTCAAGTGATCGACATTCAGAGATTCAAACGTCATAATTTTTTGCCTGATGATTGATATGTCAAATAAGCTAAATTAAAATGCGGAAAATACAGTGATTAAATCGTATATCTTACTATTGAACACTAAAGTTCAAACCAATATTGATTAAACTCATTTAATTCTAATTAAATGTAATTTTAAAAATCCATGCGGCAGTTATACAAAGGAAATCTTAGGTTACTACCTACGATACAAAATGATATCTTGCTAATTTCCAAAACAGTGCTCATGCACAATTAACAGTTATTCTACGAACTCGAGTCGAATATGAGCTGATAGCCGATGATCGAGGGCGCATAGCGCCGAATCGGCTATCGCTCATATTCGACGAGAGTGAGTGGAATAACTGTTTTATTATATACACAAGGTCTGAATTCACAGACTTTGCTTTTCGGGTATTTTCAATATTTTTTCTGTTTTGTTCATGTTTGTATCTTCGCTCTTTCAGCCGATTATTTTTTCAAAAATATGTTTTTAACCATTTTAAATTTTAAAAATTCATTTGCTAACCTGTAAACAATTTGTGGGAGTTTTTTCATTGTGTTTTTAATCCTGAAAGGGCTATAAAAAGGGAACAATTTGCCGTTTTCTCGTTCGCAAAACATCGGAAATTCAGTTTTAGCCGCCATTTTGTTCAGTCTATACTAGCAGGATATGAGCTAATATCCTGGTAGTAGAGAACCAATCAGATTGCAGAATACCTCATATCCAAACCTTGTGTATATAATAATCACTGTTATCTTACTAATTTATTTAATGATATCTAGCTATAGTTTACAAAACAGTGACCGCGCGAGTACTCGCCTCGTGTTTGTAGGCTATATTTTATAAACCACGGCCGTTGTTGGTGGCTATATTTAAACGCATTTGTTATATTTAAAAGAGTTGTATCTGTACATGATTTGCATTTTGGATTTTGGACTTTTACATACATGCTGATGGTTTTTTCCAAACTCATCATAAAGAATTTAATGACGTCTGTCAAAATAACTATATCTGCAGGTAGATGACATCAATGAAAGGTGACAGCACGCTGTTCCCATTCCAAGATTTAGCAATTACGATCAGTATGATTTCAACATGAAGGTTATTGAAAATTAAGTGAATTATCTCACTGGTTCATACCACACAATTCATCGACGTCCATAGCTTGCCCTTTTTAGGGTATGTGATGTTTACGAAAAATGCATACATTGAATATCTGCAGTAGACTCCCAGGATGCCCGGAAATGTAACTAAAATTTGGCGTTGTTAACTTGACGTTCATTTCGAATAACCTCCATATTTGCCTGTCAGTGCTCTTATAGTTTACCTATGAATTTCAGCCTAAAATCAGCCTGCACGAATATCGCGTACAAATTTACTTGAGATCACTCACGAACAAATATTGACGGTGCATGGGATTGGGATGGGTTGTTACACACCTCCACCCAACCGGTCACTGTACAGCCGGTCGCTATACAGCCCTGATAACCAAATATCGTACCCAGTCACCAAATGTGACAGAGAATCCTACTCTTGATAGAGATAAGAACAAACTTGAAGATTCTAAGTAACTCAAACCGCTCAATCGGCATAACGCTGTTACGCTAGTCCTAATCGTTGGCCTTTAACCCTCACCCGTAATTAAGGCATGGTTTCGATTTTGCCGTTGTGGCTTGCGTGACCAATTTGTGTTCGTCGATGTAAAATATTCTGAATCTATATATTTTCTCTTATTTTTTGTTGTACCGACGCACTTTGCAGTTTACGTCACTTCAAGTAAAGATCAGTGATATCCCAGTGATTAGAACAATATATCAAGGATGCACTTGAAAGTTACGTAGACAAGCAACAAACAGTCGTTATTCGAGATCTATTTATGCCTGCCCTTACTAGACTTCCTTACAAACTCTTATCCCATTTTAAAGTGTTACCACTTGTACGGTCCGCCCAGACAGCTTTAAAGGACATTGGCAACCAAAATTTTTATTTAACTTATATCTATTAGGTATACTTAATTTCATATTTTTGCCGGTTTGTTGCGTTTGGTTGTTGAGAAAATTTTAATAAAAAGTTCAACAGTTGTCCGCCATTTTGAAAAAAATGTGTATGCTAATTTATGCCATAAAATACATTATCTGTCATTAGATGGATAAACACAATTTTATGAATATAAACAATACCGAGTATTACCACG